GGCCACCTTGTTGTACTGTCTCATTCTGCTACCATGGTGAGAAGTCACGCCGTCGTCTCCCTCAGGTGACGAACGGCCGTTTAAGCAAAACATTTCGGACATCTGCTACCACATCATGCTTCGACCGGTCCATCCTATTGCACTCGCGCCTACCTCGCTCTCTTGATCACAGCCTCTTTCTCGCTGCATCGCAGCACGCATCAAGCGCTGCGCCATTCTTTGGGTCGCACGTCCCTCTCACCGCAGCCGATGTCACCACCCGCGGAAGAACGAAACTTGCTTGCTGATCGAGCCGCGAGCCAACGAACGCTATCGTCTTGATGGCATTATTGTTTCTAGCTTCGTGTAAGCGCGAGAACAGCAGAGAGAAGATTCATGCCATCAAGTACGTTTCCAGCCACCCTTACTATTGAGGATAGATGGCGTCTCTAGACTGATCTTTCGGCACCGTTGCATCAAGCTACTTCTCATGTTTGACACTGACTTTGTCCAGCAATAATCACACGTGGACTACAAGTGGACGCTCTGGCATTCCCAATTTCAGCTAGGCGAAGAGCGCATCAGCTAAAGAGCCTGCGTGAAGGCCTCACATCATTCGCCATCAGCTGCGATTCGCTGGCTGATCTGGACCGTCTCGGTATTCAAGCTCGCAGCGATTGGAAAGAACTTGCCAGGATGCATCCGCTTTAGTCGGGAGGGGATGCCCTGGCAATCCAATGATATGAGTCGGAGAATTTACGGTATTGGCCGAATGTCAAACTCGCACAGGCGCACAGCGGGGAGGCTTTGCATGAAGTCGCATGAATGATGACCCCAACGGACGAAGAGGATTGGACGACCAAACAAGCATATCGAGAGAGCTACCACCGACGACGTAATGGTACCGAAACTTCAGGTATCATCCTCTGCGGTCCATCCAAAATCTGAATTTATCGCTTCGCAATGGACAGTGGTATATCCGACAGCTAAAGTAGCCAGTATGTTCAACTTCATCAACGACGAGGCGGAAGTCCACTTATAATTATGGCTTCATCAACAGGAGAGCGTTTAGTGCTGTACTAGGTCAAAGCCTGTTCACTCGGAGACTCGGGAAGCGGCGAGTCAAACTAAGCCTTCGGTCCCGATGGCACTAACAAGAGATTGACGTTGGGGCTTCGAGCTTTGACATCGACACAGGCCGTGGACAAACCTTTCGAAAGAATAGACCCTTCAGCACCAATGGCTTAAAGTTTGTCCTTAGGGCACGACAGACGGTCTAAAGTCTTTCTAGATTGCGCCCGGTGGCTTCGATTCTCGGCTGCTTAGACTTCTGTCACTTGCATGGCGACATGCCAACGAGTGTCACGAATCCGCCAGCCCAGCGTCATCGACGTGGGCAGCGTTAAACACAGCTCTCCATCCATTGAAGCAACATTGCATACCTATGGCTCTGGGTCAACGGGTCCATTCGTCTAGTCATCGGTTGTATCCCACAGCTCCTACCTCACCATCGGAAGTTGGTTTCACCTTAATTTACCTACGACTCCCGCTCGGAACGCTCGCCGGATTCCAGTCGCCAAGCTTTTTTTGGTCCAGCACTATGAGCGGCCCAGCACTTGTTCCCGTCTCCACGTTCTTGACGTTAATCGTATCACCAATACTGCTCAAGGAAACAACGGCGCCTTTGGATCGCTGAGCTGCCTAGGATCCTCCCGGTCTGTCAAACACAGCCAACCCCAATTGCCGTTTTTCGCTATGACTCCCTTTTCCCCTCCTCTTCGTTCTTAGGCGCGGAAACAACAGGACCTAGAAAAAATACGCCATGCTCAAAATGACAGCTGAGCCGGTCACAATTGTCAAAGCGTTTTATTCACTTCATCGTTGCTCATGGCGAAGGCTGATGGATCGACCACTAGCCCATTCTATATTCATCCTGGACCAGAGCAACGTGCGGACGACGTGCCCGCAATTGACGAATACTACCGTGCATCCTCGCACTTGAGTCTGAAGCGCTCCGAGCCGTCTCGACCCAGCCGCAATCTCCGTGAAAAATAGGCTGCGAATCTCGGCTCCGGTCATGAGTTCGCATGGGTGTCTTGAACGCCATCAACAATGATCACACCGCTAGTAGCTAGAGTCTTGGTGTTGTCCGAGCAGCCCTTGAAAGCGTTCGAACCTACCGATCCTTACACGTTTGTCTGTACGGACTGACGGAGTACCAAATATTTTTCACTTTACGAATATCGACCAGGAAGTCTAGGTAACCACGTTGGCCGGACTTCGCTCCCGAGGTAAGGGACCCCTGGTTCATCTTCCACGAGCCCAACAGCGACCTTGCCATTAAGATCAACCTGGTTTCCACGTCTCTGTTTCCTCTCAGTGGCCCGAACGTCAGTTTCTGCGGCGCAGATAGGTATGATGGAGCATATGAGACTATGAGGAGTTAAGTGAGGTCAAACTTGGCTCAAGCCATAGCACTCTAACGCAATTTGACGACCGTGTGCTGACGGGCATCGGCGCCTATCCGAACAACGCGGGGTTTCTTCAACTTGCCAATACCTTATGCACGAGGCGGCTTACACGGAACTGAGACGTCTTTGAAGAATTGGAATAAGGAAGCAGCTTGTACTATGAGGCGTGGGGTTCACACTCTAATGGTTTTGCACAGCATCGTCGGTTTTTTGAAATATCTCAGACTATGATCAGCGATGTCACGAAATTGGGAGAAGAGAGGCCACCACGGAGATGTTCATGGTTATTCTCATTGTACAGCAACTCACTGCACCTTGGACGACGGTGAATGGAGGTACGGAGTACGGATACGGGACACAAACACTCGTCCATCTTGAGACGAAGATCAAATTGTCGAGACCTCCTCAGGCTCCCATCCTTCGGTGGGACCGATGAGAACCCGGGTGGAACCAGGTATCCTTGAAGATGCAGCATACATGTCTGAAATAGGTTGATCTCCGCCCCTGGCCACTCCCCTATCCTGAGCAATTGCCAGGGCCCCTGGCCTCTCGACCTCCCAACGAAGCTCCCCTGTCGACGACCCATCTCGACACTGGCTCCCCGAGATATCAAGGCTCCAGCCGTTCATTAATGCAGGGGGACTTTACTCACCTCGCACGTGTACTCCGTAGAGCGGTGGCAGGACAATATCGAAATCGACTGGGTTTACCGTTTTGCAACGAGCAGAGCGCCGGGGTCGTGGATCCTGAGTGATGTCAATATTGCACCGTTGTATTGTAAGACGGGCCTCAGTAGAATATATTCGCCTAGTTGAGGAACCTCATATCCGACAACTTGACGAGAGAGACCAATATTTCATCTCGAAAGCTCGGCTCATAAAGACAATCGCGGCTAGGACACATCATCGGCATACTTGACACGATACCATCAACATTTCACCTGATTTGGGATTTCCGCCTTCATTAGCCAGGTCTGGTGGTCAGTGTGCGCGGACGCATCCGCGTTGAGATCGGCCGGCTACAACCTGGTTCATGACCGTGCTGGCGCGCTGCGATGCTCCAGCGTCGTCACATTCACACGGACTGGGGCGACTTTTTACACCCCGCACTTAGGACCATCTCTGCAACGACGTCGCATTCTTCACATCGCTTATGCTGCAGACGAGTCACGAAAATTCATAGAGAAATGATGCATGGTGGAGATGACTGCGGTACTCTCAGGAGTTCGAACTCGGAACTCACCATTCTCATAGTCATGGGACCACGAGGCAAATCCTCAACGGAACAGCGGCAACAGACAAGAAAATGAACCACAACGCCATGATACAGATGTTGCACTGCGAATGGATACTGTGTTGGCGCGCAGCGGTCGGCCAAAATTGAGGGTTTTTAGAGTTACGTCAACAACTGACAGGAAGAACTCGTGGCCCGGGCCTCGAAGATCTTATGAGATCTGCTGAGCTGGCGCCGTATTGAGCAAACTGAGGGTTTCGCCCAGTGAAACACTGACGCTGAACAATGCCGTCTATCCTCTCGCTATCTGGATCCAGCTAGCTAACTGCACCATCCACTCTTCCATCTTATCTCGCGTTGTCTGGGTCAATCATTCTCCACCGACCAAGTGCCGATAACTCTGCAAACTTCCAAGTGCCGCATCACGCCAATGAGGACCGAAACCACAGCATCAGGCTTATGTGTAGCTTGTTCCTGAGAAATCAACGCCGCCCATGCAGCCTTCGATATGCGCGTTCAGATGTGTCGAGGTTCACTTGTGTCGTCCTGTCTAGGTCGCTATCATGTCCGGCCGCAGACCGTTGACGATGATGAGACGACCTCCGATCTTGTTAGCCGGCATCCATCCACCAGGAAGCAACTTCATATGCCGGAAACAAGCTTTCTAAACAACCTCAGTGGAGATAAGGTGGTGGCACCTCGAGTGAGGGGATAGTAGGGCGCCATCATTGCGAGTATGGGCAGCAATCATTGTAATCTCAGGCATTGAAGGCCCCCACGCTCTTGAGGAACAGCACAGTACGGACACAACAGCAGGCATCTTCCTTCATGGGACCTAGCTACACCAAGCAAAGTAAGGATCTGACATTGAGACAACCTGCCATCGTTCCGATATTCCTGGCATACCAAGCTTATAATACACATAGTAATGGCAGGCACTAGAGTCTGGTTCGTCGCAGACCCATGGTTAGCGCCATTGCCTCACATCGCTTACAACTCTCTCGAAACTCGCTTTACAACAGTCTCGGGATACGGCTGTTTGCACACATCCCACATAGAGAGAGGTCTATACCAAAGCCCTCTCAACGACTTTCTGGCTCGATCAAGCCTGGTTTATTCCCCAGTTGATCTCAACGACGGGCCGTGTGACACGTTGACAACACTATGCCCCTATTCGCACGCTGACTGATACGCCACTAGGTTGTAACCTTGCAACAAAAGGAGGATGTGGATTCGCTCACATCATAGACAGTTTACAGAACTTCGAAGACGCGTCAACTCTGTGGCGAACTGTTTAGACCAAACTACCAAGTAATCATGGACCATGGGCGAGTCCTCTGCCAATTCTCGCTTCCACCAGGTTCCGGTGATAGGCAGCGGTCAAGCCTCCGACGCAAGAGCGAATCGTCATATCACATAGGACCTGCCACTTCTCTGGTTGACAGTATGCCTGATCGTGGTATTGCAAGCATCATTGCCCCCCAAAGAGAGGTTCTAATCTAGCGTTCCCGAGGCTCGAGCAGTAGGTGGCAGACACGCCTTCGCCTGCTTCAAGTGCGGGGTCGAAACAGCGTTTCATCCAGGAAACTTGACCTGGTAGTCATCTGCAACCTATTATTCGTCAATGGCAAGGAAATCACAAGTGCGGATAATCTCTCTATAACAGCTACGATACGGGGAAGTAGGCCGATCTCATCCCCGTCAGAAGCGAAGCCACACAACCGCAGTTACGGTTCAAGGCGTCCGGATAGAGGCAAGGCCAACGATGGGGGAACGACCAATGTTGAGTATCTAGCCCCCGAACGGCGTCACCTCGAGGCCCCGAGACTCAGGCTACCAACACATGAAGGTAGTATTCATGAGCTGCTTGAGGGGAGGGGAGGGCAATTGCGAAGCCGGGGGATGCGACCCCTAGAAACACTGTCACGAAAGGTTGAGGGCGAAGCATCACTGTACTGTATGGCACAAGAGTCAAGACTCAACTTGCAAAACGTGGCAAACCCCTTGACAAAACTGCAATTGGGCGCAGATTTGAGCGGCTAGCCAACCCTACAACTTTGCCCCTGGTAGACCGCAGTCTCGGACTAGAGATGCTAACCTGGCGAGATTACCACACATTGAAGAGTTGAGGAGATTCCCTGAGAGGTCCCGACATGGATGCCGGTGGCCCATGACAAAAGGGATCAACATGCGGAGTATTATTTCGTCGTATATTTTTGACTTTGGCACCCGTCTCGGGACCTGCATGTCAACGGGCATATTCGGGAGAGATCAGCAGTCAATCCCATCCAAGTTTCCAATTTTCTCCGACGATTACAGCAGCGCAAATGCCGGAGCCACATGGTTGACAGGCCCTTTCTCTTTGTCAACTAACAACACCGCAACGACTTTGTACCCCGTAAGACAAGCTGATTTTGCAGAGGCATTGCATTCGATAGAACGACAGCCATGACAGGAATGACGAGTGACCATTAGATTCATCGCTTTGCAATTACCATGACACGCTGTGGGAGTTGTAGTACTGTCAGAGACTAGTGGAGATGAAGGGAATAGACGTCAGGCGAGACCCTTCAATCCTCAAGCTACGGATACCATGGACTCGCCCACACTCTCCCTTCTCTCTCTTGTTGCCTTAAACTAACCCGAGGTTAAGGTTTGACCAACGTTCCCAGGCTGTCATGTCAAGATCTTGTCGGTGCCCCTCAATTAATTCTTAGCGCGGAAAACGCGATCGGACTTGTGCTCCCCCGGCCCTTGTCCTACCAAGGCTCTCACTTACATTGCATTGCTGCAATCTACGGCAACGCACAAACAGACCGCGGCTTGCAGTAGCAGTATGCGTGCCATCATCATGAGTTGACAGAGCACGCAACGCTTAAACACGGGCCTCTTCCGACGAGCAGTGTAAGCCTTCTAGACATCTCTACCACGCATACGGCCCTCTCGCAATGGCTCTCGGTGTCAGACCGAGCCCTCCCGGCGCAGGATCAAGGCTAACCTTTCGGGCAGTATTCCCACACTTTCATATCCGGTATTCGGTCATTCGGCACCGATCCGGTCTCTGGCGGTCTCTAGAGAGGTTTGCAAGAAGCACCGTCCTCCTGGCCCCTCTCTTGGCGAACTCGGCCGGCCACCCCCGCTTCGGAGCAAGACCGATGCTCAATCCCTCCCCTCGGGCCCCAACGCAAAGAAAAAGAGGAAGAGTGAGAAAAGCCACGCGTTGAGCCTGGCTTCCGGCAACGCTCCCTGCTAAGCTTGAATTGTTAGCGTCCCTCTTGCTTGGGAAAACGCTATCCAGCGTGATCTGGGGGGGCCCTTATCCAGTCACAGCTCGGTCACGCCGCACCACTACCACCAATATGTATGAAGATGAGCTAGGCTGGGAGGGGCAGGCCGACACTGGCAGACTGGCCCCCCTTTTCTTGGTCTTGGCTTCAACGGGTGCGCTCCGCGGTTGCTGCTGGTCCATGAAGCTTCAAGGGCAAGGTCACGACGCACTTGCAGTGGTGCGAAACCGCGATCCCTCCAACGTGGTAGACAGAGAGGGCCAGATCAAGTCGGGGAGGAAGCGTCCATACTCGAAAGGTGCCCATCCTCCGGCGCATCCTCCGTGGCCGAAGTCCTTCGCTGCGGAATCTGGCCCTCCAAAACGGCATCGCTTTGCATTTCACACCCTGTTCGTGGCTCTTATCACTGCTTGCGACAGACTCACAGACTCACAGGTTAGAGTATGCCCTCCAGCAATTCAGCAGTCCAGCCTCTAGGCCTTGATAGAATCAGCATTCAGCGAACCTTCATGGTCTCACCCCTGCACTGCCTTGCCTACTTGCTGCTCAGTGAGTTTCCAAGCATTCGTTTGTCAGAGCTTACAAGCCCAGCGGCCCAGGCCAAACAACGCCCATTGCACCAGCCTGGGCTAGCGAGACAATCGTTCCCGTCTTCCAGGAACGAGGTCATCTCCTGTTCGTCAACAACCGTGACCAAATACTGCATTGTCTAAAAGCCCGTAGCCATACATTCGGACTGTTTCACGACGGCACGAGGGAAGCGCACCTGTTCTTGCACAGCCCGACCCATCTCAGGCTTAACTTTCACAAACCTCTCAGGCCCCCCCCCCCCAAGGAAGCCCAAACAAATATCGGCAAATATTGCACAAACTGTACGGGATATTCCCAGCGCGATAGCTCGCATCTTATCATAGGCAACGCCACATATAGCGCTATAACGAAGAACTGCTGCAGCCCCTTTCAATTTCCAACCATCCCCTTTCCCCCCTCCCCCTTCCACCGAAGAAACGAGCGAGACCCCTGCTGGCTATTTGGACTCCGGTTGGACACGGGCTTCCAGAAGAATGTGGGTTCCTGTTGTGACAGGGTGACAGCGCGCCCCCATCAAGTGTGGGGTAAGGGTGGCCGGACAAGCTCCCACGGCTCCCAGCTCCCCCCTCCAAGGCTCAAGCTCCGAGGGCCCTGAGTAAATGAATAAGACGGATCCGTTATTGATGATGGAGGCATGGATCTCTGCGATTGAGATTGAGAGGCCGTTTGGTATCCGCAAACTTGGCGGTCTGTTTTCCTTCGGGGAGGGGTCTCAAGATGCAGAATATTCAATATCCTTTGCTATACTAAGCTTTCCACTCGGGAAAGTTTATCGCCCTTGAAGATGTTCGCCCAGTACGAGGATGGATCTTTTATTTCTCCTTAGTCGCAAGAAGCGATATTGCAAAAGAAAAATGACGGGCAGTATCTACCTTTACGTATTGGGAGGCTTCAAGCGATTATACCCGGATACGTAACGACTGCCACCTGGGTATCCGTATTCGTACGAAGTACACTACGAGACTGGACTAGGTGGTGTCTTTGCTGGGCGGCGGCCTCTACCTGTGGGCTTTCTCCGTGGGATTTTTTCTCGCCTAACGATAGGCATACCCGTGGCAACCGTCACGACGCAGGTCTTGTCACATATCTCGCATCCACCCATTTTAGCCGGAGGAGGAGCCCTTGACTCTCTCCCACTCTCTTCCTCGAGTCTGCCAACCCCCGGAGCTGGGTTTGGAACCTCTTGGTATCCACAACTCACGCCATGCCGCGCCGCCGGTGTGACCGCGAGGGGCAGTAGCCACGGCCGCGGATGCAGAGCAACCCCTTCCACGGTTCCGACCCCTGTCCTCTTGCGATACCCCGTTGGGAACGCCTTTTTTGTGCCACAGTATGCAGTAGGAGTGAGAAGTGCGAACCGGTCCAGGCGAATGGGGAATGAGCGGTTGGGCCACCTTGTTCACGAGGTGGAAGCGGAAACAGGCAGGAGGCCGAAAAAAAGAGAGGTAGAAGGTGAGGCTGCAGACCTGCCACCATCTCAGATTCTGCAGTCACGAAGAACTTTGTGTCAGTTTTTCTTGTCTTAGATGCGGATGTAGACAGATGCAGATGCAGCCCAGATGCGGGAAGGGGTCTACGGATACAAAGATCGGGCCGGGTGGAATACGAAAAGGAGGGTGTTGACGGGAACGGGAAAGGGGAGGTGGGAAGGTCTGCTGCCACGACTCCATGAGCAGAAACGACCTCTTGCATCGCGAGGAGGAAACTGAATCGGGGAGCAACGGCCACATTCAAACGACGGCTGGCTGTATTTCTGACGCGTCGTGCTCCAGCTTCAGGAGGACACGAAGCCCTCCTGGAGTCGTGACCATTGTCGGATTGTTCCTAGCAGCATCATCATCGGCTATTGGAGCCCTGCCTTTCTATCCTCTATCTCTCACTCTTTTCTCCCCTGATGCACGCACGTGGAAGAAAACCCTCCGCTGAGAGCAGTTTGTTTGATTGTGAATTCCGAAACCCCTCGTGAGAAGGGAGATCGGCCACGGAACATGGAACGAACTGCTTGTCGAGGTATCTACGGATACTGTTTACGCAGTAAGGGGGTTATCGACTTCCAGGTCCAGGTCTCGAGGTCTGAGCCGGGTGGGCGAAGAGGAGACTTTTCGTCCGGTTTCTCACCCCGGAAAGGACGGAGAGAAGTTTTCTTGGTCCAGGCCACTGTCGACAAACTCTCTCTCAGTGTTGTACGAAGGTATGTGGGAGTGTATGATCTCATGCGGCAGCACCGAAAAAGAAAGGGGTGGACGGTGACGGGTGGCTTGGGGAACAGAAACGCAGGACAAGCCTCCAGGGGCCAGGGCGGAGAGGGAAAAGATAAGTCGGGATGGCGGCGAGCAGGCACAAGGAACGGCTTGGGCAATCCCCGTATCCCGGAGTGCGAAGACGGCTCAGAGATTCTCTCCCAGGTACGGATACGTCACGCAGGGAGATCCCATCCCCGGGGAAAGGCAGCGCCGTTTCAGGATGTTGGTCTTGGTTGTGGTTCACTCGTTCAGCTCCGTTCTGGCTGGGGTCTGCAGCTTTGCAGGTTCGTGTGGAGTTCGAAGACTTCCAAGAGAGAGAGAGAGATTGATACGGAAGATACCCCGTGCTAGGCTCGCGTGAGCTTATCGACGGTTGAGTTCTTGATGTGCCTGGAGTGCCTGGAGTTTAAGAGACAAGAGTGATAGCCAAGGCTTCCAGGAGAGCCGATGGTCCGGCCTTTGATGTGGGTGTTGGATCTCATCTTGAGTGATGAGGGATGGCCATCTCGATGGCACCGTTAGATGTCGTGCTCAAGCCTCGGCATTTGATCGATTGAGAAGGGCACTTCGTACTCTGTAGATGGAGAGAGATGGCAAGCAATCGTCCGCCTGGCCTGTCTAGTTCTTGCATCTTTGGGACGTTTGAGACGAATGCTGAAGACTACTTTACGAGGGTTTACTACCTGGTGAAACAAACGTGAGGTGGGGGCTGGAAAGAAACAGCCGCCCTCTCCAAGGTAGCACTCGTGGCTTCCATGACAGATCCAGATAAAGTGTGGCTGGAGGTATGTGGCTTGCCCCGTTGCCGAACTAACCATCTGTGGCTGAACTTCATGTCCCACGTGTGGCTGAAGCTACCCCTCTACCTTAGTCCGAATGTGGCAAGTGCTACCAACAACATCACCAGAGGAGGAGTTGAAGGATATCAAATTTCTGGAGCTCCGCAAAGTCAGCAAGTTTTTACACACATGTGGCGATCCCTTCTTGCAAAGGGTTCAATTCCTATCAGAACAAGCTTCACCCGCCTCACGAGCCCTCAGAACCGCGCAGCCGCCTTCGGCACTACTGCAAAGATGGCGTCCACCACCTCGACCAACAGAGACCCAAACACCCTGTCAAACTATGGCGCGTGGCTGACCAAGCACACCACCGCCAACCTGACGATCGACTTCAAGGACAAGTCTCTCAAGGGTTCCGTCACCCTCGAGCTCGAGTCCCTGACGGACAGCCAGAGCAAGGAGATCATCTTCGACTCGAGCTTCCTCTCCATCTCGGGCGTCAAGGTCAACGCCGCCACCTCGACATGGGAGCTCAAGGACCGCGTGGAGCCGTACGGCGCCCCTCTGCACGTCTTTGTGCCCCAGGGCGCTGCCAAGGGCGAGGTGGTCAAGGTCGACGTCGACCTCGCTACCACGGACAAGTGCACCGCCCTGCAGTGGCTCACGCCCGCGCAGACGAGCAACAAGAAGCACCCGTACATGTTCTCCCAGTGTCAGGCCATTCACGCCCGCTCGCTGTTCCCCTGTCAGGACACGCCGGATGTCAAGTCGACGTACAGCTTCGTCCTTGCCTCGCCTCTGCCTGTCGTCGCTAGCGGTGTCCTCGTTGAGGGCTCCGGTAAGGATGAGAAGAAGGGTGACAACACGGTCTACCGCTTCGAGCAGAAGGTTCCCATCCCGTCGTACCTGTTCGCCCTGGCCTCGGGTGATATCGCCACGGCGCCTATTGGCCCGCGGAGTATCGTTGCCACGGGACCTGATGAGCTCAAGGAGTCGCAGTGGGAGCTGCAGAACGACATGGAGAAGTTCATGGAGGTTGCCGAGAAGCTTGTCTTCCCTTACCGGTGGGGCCAGTACAATGTTCTTGTTCTGCCGCCTAGTTTCCCCTACGGTGGTATGGAGAACCCGATTTACACGTTTGCGACGCCGACCATCATCAGTGGCGACAAGCAGAACGTCGATGTCATTGCGCATGAGCTGAGTCACTCGTGGAGTGGAAACTTGGTTACCAGCTGCAGTTGGGAGCACTTGTAAGTGAGAGTCTGGTGTGTTGCATTTCGTGACAAAGGAGGTGCTGACGACGTCATGTAGCTGGCTGAACGAGGGCTGGACAACATATCTTGAGCGCCGTATCGGCATGGCTGTCCATGGTGACGCCGAGCGCGACTTCTCCGCCATCATCGGCTGGAAGGCCCTCGAGGACGCTGTCGCTCTCAACGGCGCCGACTCCGAGTTCACCAAGCTCATCATCAACCACAAGGGCATCGACCCCGATGATGCCTTCAGCACCGTTCCCTACGAGAAGGGCTTCCACTTCCTCTACTATCTCGAGCGCCTTGTCGGCATGGACGCCTTTGACAAGTTCATCCCCCACTACTTTACAAAGTGGTCCCGCAAGTCCCTCGACTCATTCGAGTTCAAGGACACCTTCCTCACCTTCTTCAACGGCCTCGGCGACGAGGAGATCAAGAACAAGGTCGCCTCCATCGACTGGGACACGTGGTTCTACCAGCCCGGTCTCCCGCCTAAGCCGGTCTTCGACACCACCCTGGCCGATGTCTGCTACAAGCTGGCCGAGAACTGGAAGGACGAGTCCTTCAAGCCCTCCGCCGAGGACGTCGCCTCCTTCTCCGGAAACCAAAAGCTCGTCCTCCTCGAGACGATCGAGAAGTTCCCGTCTCCTCTGTCCGCTGACCGCGCAAAGCTGCTCGGCACTGTGTACGACCTCGTCTCGTCGCGCAACGCCGAGCTCAAGACGGCGTACTACAAGATTGCGCTCGCTGCCGAGGACTCGTCTGCGTACCAGGGCGCCGCGGAGTTGCTGGGCCACGTTGGCCGCATGAAGTTTGTGAGGCCGCTATTCCGGTCGCTCAACAAGGTCGATCGGGAGCTTGCGCTCAAGACGTTTGAGAAGAATAGGGACTTTTACCACCCCATTTGCCGTGGTATGGTGGAGAAGGACCTCGGACTTGTATAAATTAGGCAACGGAAAAGAATGGAATGGGTGCGAGCAGCGACCTAAGTTGGACCATATTGGGTGTCTCAATATCATGACAGAAATTAAAGCAGAGCAGGCATCGGGCACCGCAAGTGCCTAAAGTAGGTAGGTAAAGAAGAGTGGTGGTCAAAGAGCTCAAGCAGCCCTTTAGCCCCACACTGTCTGACATCTATAATAATCCTCCGCCCACTCAGTCGTGAATGGTCGGTAAAGTTGGAGCTTTGAATGTCGAGATATCGCCACTCGATTGTGTGTTGTAGGATGATTTGTCGACTGCGGCCCTTCCTTCGAAGCTCTCTCAACAGCGACTCCTCGAGAACAATCTTGTTAACCCTCACCCACAGCCTCATCTTCATCATCCTCCCTGATTTATGTTTCCAGGGATGGTCCATTCCCTTGTCCGCTTCAATGGCGTTATTGGTCTTAAAGCAGCCTTCTCAGCCCCAGAAAGAATATGCTTGCGGGTCTTCGTTGTGCTGTAATCCATGAGAAGTCTAACAACATCCTCGTGGCTCCTGTAAACTGCAAAGGCCAGTGGTGTCCTACCATTTTGATCTTCCAACTTCGAATCCGCTCCAACCTGCAGCAGATATTGTACGACATTGCTATGGCCTTCGGCGGCAGCGATGAATAGGGGCGATTGATCTGCACTATTAATCATATCGACCCGTGCTCCTGCGTCAACCAGGCTTCTCGTGGCGTCAAGATGCCCTTTTCCAGCCGCAACCCATAATGGGGTTTGTCCTGTCTTATCGGCAAAATGGGGATCGGCACCGTTGACCAGAAGAAGGGAAATAATAGCAACGTTTCCCTCTTCTGCAGCTACGCAAAGTAGGCCTGCACCCTCAGTTCCTGTCTGCCATTTTATTCTACGGACGAGATCCATACGTCCTCTCCTTATTGCTATAATTGGCGATTCCTCGGGAGATCCCCCAGCATCCATTTCGTAACCTCTTACGCCGCAAGTCGGAAAATTCATTAATTGTGGTTGATTGTGACCAGCGAGAAGTTCTTTCAAATCCGTAATGAAGGCTTGGTTCATGAGATGCGACAGCGGCCTTGCGCAATTTGGTTGTAGCGTGTCCCAAATTTCGTACCATCGAATAGCGTCATTTCCGTCTTGCCCTACTCTCATGTCGATGGTAGCAAGGCGAGCAAGACTTTCTTTATTTAGATGATCCTCAAATGGGTTCCTATTCGCCCGTTTGCAGCCTCGCGCTGCGATGTGTCTTTCGCAATCTTTATGAGCGACGAAAGTCCGATAGCAAATAGGGCAGTGTATGGGTGGCCTATGATGACTTTTTAGGTGTTCAAAAACTTGTCGGGTTGAGGTCATGCTGAGTTGGTGGGACCCGCATGCCAAATGTTTCAGCGGCCACATCTTAAAGTAATGACAGGCATAATCGCCAGATACTGGCGGCTGATTTGCATCGTCCGGAGAATCTGTCTCCGAAAAGACAAGATCCACGGATCTGAGTGAGTCTCGAGAGTGGTTGCTCATTCTGTTATTGTTGTTATTACTTCCGGGAACGGAATTGTCGTCATCGCCATAAGACCTTGGAGCGGCGAAGGTAGCAAGTCTTTCCATATGAGAAGCCATGTGATTGACAAGACTCTTCTCAAAGGGACCGCAAGAGAGGCAGAACGGGCAAAGCTGCCGTTCATCCTTGGTGCTTGCATGGGCAAGCTTAGACAATGCCTCGATCTGATATTCTCCTAGGCTTGAGTGGGAGCTTCGCAAGTGTTGGGCTAACCCCACTTGCGTTTTGAATAAGTCCTGGTGCTCGAAACACCGCCAAACTCTGCGATGAGACTGTGATTCGTGCTCTATCCAGGCCAGTCTACTCCAATACATGACTTCGGCTTGCTCACACTGATCATAGGTGCACATATAAGGCCGGAGATCTCGTAAAATATGCTCCCTATCTTGAACGTCAGGCACGTCATGTAATGCACGAGCTTGACTCACCGCCAGTGTTTGTCTTTGCCTTCGTTTGCAGGGCAAACCACGCAACAGCAAGGACAGATGAATTCTCTTTGACCCCCTCTCAATACCGGTGAAGAAGGGAGCTCTGTCGGATTGCCGTTAAGATCCAGGGCGGTCGAGCAATAGGACACGACCGAATCGGTATCAGCGCTCAAATTGCTGAATTCGAGTCTCGAGGCTTCGGTTCCGGAATAAATTGTCGGACTCACAGAACCGGATGCGGAATCATTCGGGACAAGGGGAACGAGCTTTGGTTGAAGAGGAGGAATAGGTGGTTTGGCGGGCTCGACCCCTTTGTCATGGACAGTGCTTGAAGATATCAACGGCATCTTCTGCTTGATATTTCGAGTGGTGGACGGAAACTCATCCTTGGCCAGTTTCCGAGCATGTCTTCGCCAATATGCAAAAACCCGCCTGCGATTCGTGATTGAATTACCCCAACGCCGAACAAGATATAAGCCGAAGGTGTTCTCTTGTTCCTCGGATGGTACAAAACTTGGAGTCTGTTGATGAGATTGTCCACGACTTTGTTCGGGTGATCGATTCGGCGTCTCTCTTCTTATCAGTCGGAAAAATTCCTCCACATGTCGATGGTCGTAATACGAGTACCCTCCCAGAATGTCAAGTACGGATGGATCTTCAGGATTGGGAGGTTCCTTGTATGACAAGGCTTTTTGATTCGACTGTGTCGCTCTAGAAGAAGACCCTCTGATCTGGAACGAGATTTTGACGAGTGCTGCGAGTGTTTGATCGATTTGAGACGAGTTGTAGCCTATCTCGCTCTGTACTTTATTGTTGATATCATCGTACTGGATGGTCTCGGCTGAAACGCTCCCACCATCACTTGATTCCGAATCGTCCTCACGACTTACACAAACAGCTTCTTCCACGGGCTTGCTTGAATCGTTCACAATCAGATCGTCTGCAAAAGCTGGTAAGCAACAATAAGTTGATCATCATCATCATCTGGTGAAGATGAGATTGAGGCGCTAATTGTTAATCAGAGTTAACGTTAAGAAGCTGGCGTTCTTACTTCGGCATATAAAGGCATCCAAGTCGGCGAGAAACCTCAAAATGGTGTCTTTCAAAAGTGATGCCTCCATCAAACGGAAGTCGAGTGACGCGTTCCCGTTTGCAAGTGCCCCCAGGCCGGCCGCCCAGATTTTGAAGCGATCCCGCTGGTTCTTCGCCAATTCTGCAGATAACTCTTTATGTTGAAAGTCTTTCCGCGTTTCCAGATTCGATACAAGATTACAGAAGCTCTCAAGGCATGCTTTGGTTGCCGCTGCTAGCGGAAATGGCGATTCTGTCTCCATGGCAGCGCAATCAATCTTGTCATGGGTGTCGATTTATCGCTTGCTGGTGTAAGGTCAGCACATTGTAGCTCCCTCGAATAGTCAAGATGGTTCGGCGATGCACATCGATCGCGACCACGTCAATTTTTTTTACATAAATTCGCATCGGTGTCTTCTTGAAGCCTGGTTCGATCGTCGAAGCTGCAAGGGAGGAGAAGACGGCTTTCAGAGACTGAAGATGATGAATACAAATAATCGCTCTGTAGACTGCAGATGTCTCAATCAGCAAATCTTCGGAGTTCTAAAAGAGGGGTAATGCCATTTTAGGAACGACGATGACCTGATTCCTGTACATTCGGCCAATAGGGTATTCTTAGCTGCAAGGCTGCGTCGCTGGAGATTGAAGCAAGACTTGCCACCGATAATGTCATTTTCTCACAATTACCCATGTATCTCGGCAATCTGTAATCGTTCATACTTTGTTCCTGGAGCGGCAGCATACCTTGAGACCTACTGATACATCTCGAAAGTCCTTTGGCATTCTCCTTCGTCCGAATAACGATTACTATGGCCGAGGTCGCTGGTCTTGCGCTCGCCGTGGTGCCTTTACTGATAAGCGCTCTGGAGCATCGCCAAGGCATATCAAGACCTTTACGTGCCTTTTTCAAGTTTCGACAGGAACTCTCGACAGCTCTGATCGACTTGAGATATGTATTTGTCGCGTATGACCAGAGTGTTCGATTACTACTCAACACAAGAGTAAGCGGTGATGAAATGAGTCGGATGATAGCTGACCACCAAGATCAACTTTGGATGTCACAGAGTCTGTCTTCTCAGCTGAAGAGGGATCTTGGGTCCGCATATGACGAATCCATGGGTCTACTGAAGCGGATCGAAGCCACCATGGAGACCATCGCCGCCGATCTCGACATAGGAGGCTCAGACCAGGTAAGCAGGTTGGAGACAAGACAAGCAGGTCGGCTGACATCCATCAAAGGTCTTACAGCATGGATTGCAGACTATCATTGCAGCAAACCCTCAAATTTCCGATCCGAAAAACCCTTCCAGTCAGAAATATCAGCTACGAGGACGTCTCAAGTTTACTCGGAAAATCGGCAAAGTGACGGACGGCATACACCAGCTAGAAGAATATAATCGGAAATTGCAAAGTCTTCTGGACAATGCGAAGAAAATTGGCGCCTCTCAGAACCTCGATGAACCTGCCTCGCAGACCTCCATAGAGTTCGTGGCCGATTTGCAGACCATACAAGCAAACGTTGCGAGGGTTCACAACGGTCTTATCGGACGGTGGTGCCTGAAACCACAGGGTCATCAGACGGGACTGTTGCTTGAGCAACGCCTCAGGCGCAGGAGAAGACACCGGCAAGGTCCGCTCAATAGCGTGGGTATGCAGGACCGTTACGGTGTCTCTATTCGAAGATGCGCTGAGAGGAGTTGGTTCGACACTGAAGTCCACGTGTCTTGCGATGTCGATACGGCGACCAGGTATTCTATATAGTTACCACTGAAGGGCCGTCGATCACGATGACTAACTGGGTGGCAGTTACCCCAATATCACCATTGCTCCCCCTGAACCATCAACTTCTGCACAGAGATCCTCGACTGTCGTTAGCGAGGTGAGGGATATCTGCATGGCTATCCAGAGTGCGGCATACCCGAATTCCGGGTTCAGCCTAAATAAACTCAACGTTCTTTGCGGATTCCATCACCTGGAAGCCCGTTCCTACTTTCTCGCGAATAGTGCCGTCACATTGAATGGATATCTTCCGGTTATCAAGAGGAAAGAGCACTCAATTCCAGACTTATACTGCCTCGCAATCACTCTTGCAGCTTCGGTGCTTCAGTTAAGTGAAACGCCCTGGTTAGTCAAGCCATGGAACAGGAATAAGATTTTCTTCATACGCCAGAAAGACAAAGACCGGATATCCGTGGATATCAAGCATCCTTATCTAATCTGTCAGTATGATGAGGGTAAGGTTCCTTCGCTTCCATATGGATTTCTTTGTTCGCCGACTAATTTTCATGTAGTTTCTTCTCCACCTGATTGCAGAACGGGCTCGGTCTCTCCAGGCCAACAGAACATGCTCGAACTAGCCGTCATGCTTCTGGAATTGCATAGCGGTATACCCATTGAAACTTTGACAAAAGATGAAGAGCTCGGACGAGATGGCGCACGCAACGAGTTTACAAACTTTTTGACAGCGAGCAGAGTTCTCCGCCAGCAAGTGGACGATGGCCAAATATCTTTTGGGTTCATGACTGCCATTCAACACTGTCTCAACTGTTGGAACGATCCCCGTCCGTCCTTTGATGGTGACTCAGACTTTGTTCAGTCAATCCAAGAACACGTATTGGCACCACTAGAGGGAGAGATGATGAGGTTCATGTACGGTTGAGGAAATCAATAAGAGCTGCGACAATCCCAATCTCCACCTCATCATCGTTTCGGAAATGATCGCTCGTTCAAGTCTCTGTCACGTCGATGTAACGGGGAAACCTCGAGAAATATACATCACTGGAAATAACCGGACAGTCAGACCCGTGATGAGGAGTGGAAGTCAACAGAAGATGGGAAGGGTCACAGAAGGGAATCACAACTGCATAGTAGGAGATCAGAAGCATTAGTAAGAGATAACAGCCACGAACATGTAGGGCTTCTATGCTTAATATTGTTTAATAATGCAATACTCCCAAGCTAGGAAACCTACTGGTCTTTCACATTATGGTCACAACTTGGACTGCTCCTGTACCGAAAGCTTCCGCAGCAACGGCCCAGCACGGCTACCATCTCCTGAGAACCCAAACGGCTGCTCGCTGCTGGTGGGCCGTCTTAATCTCCACTTCTCCCGCAACACTGTAGATGGCTTACGCTCGAAGCTGTCAGCGACTTGCGGACCAATAGCCGGAAGGAACTTGAATGCACTGTTTCCTCAACGTTAGCAAACAGGACCAAATCAGGGGTGAACCACGAAGAAAATGAAGATACTCACTGTCCAGCACCACCAGTCGCAAAGAACAAGCCCTCGAAATCCGGGTGATAGTCCGCGATAAAGTCTCCCTCAGGGGTATCAGTGTACCAGCACATCCTCTTGTAACACCACTCCCTCTCCGCAAACTCAGGGAAGAACAACCTCACACCCTCTCTCAGATCCTCGTCCGCATCCTGCGGCAAATACCCAGACGCGGCATTACTCTCCCTCAACCGCGGCGTCGAAATCGTCCTCTTCCCAGCCCCTCCCTCCTCAACCTCAACCTCGGTCGCGAAGCCCCACCCGTGCCTCGCAAGCTTGAGCAAGTTCGTCCCGGGCGTGGGCGGGAAGCAGAATACGCCCGTGCTCATGTTGATCATTACGGGCATATCCTTCACCCTCTCCGCCTCCTCGGCCGAAAGCTGGATGAAGCCCACGGGCTGGCCCGAAGCCGACATGGCGTGTCCCATGCCGGGGATGATGCGGTTCGTCCACGCCCCCGTCGCGAGAACGATCTTGTCCGCCGACAGCGTCGTCCCCGCCGCCGTCTTCACGCCCGTGACCTTATTTCCAGACCTCTCGAGCGAGACGACGGTCCCGTGCCGCCCCGTGACAAACGACACGCCCGCAAGCGTACACCGCCCCGCGAGCGCCCTAATCGCCCCCGCGGCATCAGCCCACCCACCAATAGCATTCAACGTGGCCGTGAAATCCTTCAAGTCAGCCTGCACTCCTTTATACCGCTTCTTCACCTCCACATCCACCAGCGGCGGCGCATAAAACTCCTTGGCCGGCCTCCCGCCGCTCTCCCACTTGCGGAACTTGTCGAAATAGGCGCTCGGGCCCTCCCGCTCGTCGGCCATCATGACGAAGCCGGACTGGTGGTAGTGCGGGCCGAACAGCTCCGATGTCTGCCAGCCGTGCAAGGCGTCCGTGGCGAGGGCGGCGTAGTGCGGGTCCGTGTACTCTGTGCGGATGATGCGCGAGACGTCGACGGAGCTGCCGTCGGGGACGGGCGGGAGGAAGCGGTCTAGGACTGTGACGGAGGTGTAGCCGCGGTTCTTTGTGAGTTCGTAGGCGAGGGAGAGGCCGAAGACGCCTGCGCCGACGATGAGAATTGGTGAGTGTTTGGATGTCATTGTGTAAGATGCGGTTTTGTGGTGGATGAGGTGGAAGTAAGGTTGTGAGAAGATTTCGGGAAACTCCAGCTAGAATTTCTTACTTTCTTTGCCTCTAGTTCAAAATTATAGAGCTAGAAGAGTAATAAAAGACGATTTGATCTCAAGATGAGTGAGCTCTAAACGACGTGCGACTCTCTCATGTTATACCTATCAACTTATCTCAGCAATCAACGTCGGCGCAGGGTCCGAACGGATACAAGCTGGTGTGGGGACGGACCGGTTTCCGTACCCACATTTCCACATCCAACATCCTGGGTGGGGGCTGCGTGGAGTTCATCGCAAGTAGCAAAGCAAATGAGAAAGGAGAATATCGTCTACCGAGGTTCGAACCGTTGGGGCCCGGATTTGCCAATCTGGTGCCATTGGATGCCGTCATGTCGGGCTTCCGGAGTCGGAGCTGTGGAGACTGGAATTTACGGGCCTCTCTTTGCAGGACACGCTGGTGCTGGCCCGCTGGGTGGTCCCCGTTGTGGGTCCAGTCGGCTTCTGCCCGGCGATCGCTTGCCGTGTAGATGGTATTGCTTCCCATGAACAGAATCAACACACCACATACAATCTCATAGAGTAAAAAAACCAACAATTCATAGACGTGCTACCGACCCTAAACCCATTCTGAATAGGCACACCTGCCATCCAACAGAAACAACATCCTTGCATCTTAAATACCTCCTGTCCATTTCTTCTTCCCTCATACATACACCACACCCCAACATCTCCATCACCCACATTTTCAAACGAAAATCAGTGGAACTGATCCTCCGTCACGCCCTTACCCATGGCAGCGGTACTGCTGATGCCGCCGGTGACCATCTTCTGCAGCTCGTCGACGTACGTCGCGCCGCTCCACTTTTGGTGCTTGACGACGTCGACGCCCGAGTCCATCTCGGGCTCCTGCACGAGCTCTCCGTACGCGCGCATACCCTGCTGGCTGTATGCCTTGGCGAACTTGTCGCTGATGAGCGCCGTCGTGTGCAGGCCCGCCAGGGTGATGAACTGCCAGCAGTAGCCGAGCGACGCGAGGCGGCGGATGTACGTCTCCTGCTCGTCGCGGGGCATCGCCGTCTTCCAGTTGAAGGAGGGCGAGAGGTTGTAAGCGAGCCTGAAGAAGACCAAAAGTTAGTAAACCCAATTTTTCTATTTACCAAGAGGATTCTTTCTTTCCGAGGCTGGACTTGTGTACTTACTTTTGCTCGGGCCAGACGGCGTGGACGCCCTTGGCGAACTCCTGCGCCTGCTTGAAGTCGGGCAGCTTGCTCTCCATCCAGATGGCATCGCAGTAGGGGGCATACGCGATGGCGCGGTTGATGGCGCAGTCGCAGCCGCCCTTGAGGCGGTAGTAACCCTCGCGCGTACGCGGGGAGTCCCAGTCAAAGTGGATGTCGGCGCCGAGGATGCCCTTTGCGATGGCGCGTGCCTCGTTGTTGCTCTTGCCCTTGGTGGCGGCGGTGTACTTTTGGATCAGGCCGTCCTTGTTGGAAAGAGGCGCGGCCTTGATGGCGTCGACGACGGCCTCGTCGAAGCGCTTGAGGTTGGCCTGCTTCAGCCAGTTGTCCTCGATGGCCTGGAGCTGGTCGCCCGTCTTGCCGGCCAGCTCGGCGGCGATCATGAGGTCGTTGAGGGGCTGGAGACTGGGGTTCGTGGAGCCGAGGATGAAGGCGTGGTCGCGGGGGTCGATATTTGTGCTGAGGAGGGTGGCGGCCTCGGCGTCGGTGCGGGCGACGGCGACGAGGTTGGAGCCCATGATGTCGGCCTGGGCGCGGATGGCGACGAGGCGGTTGATGTGCTCCTGGATGGGAACGAGGACCTTGCCGGCCATGTGACCGCACTTCTTGGTGCCGGGGGCCTGGTCCTCAATGTGGATGCCGGCGGCGCCCTTCTCGATGAAGAGCTTGGTGAGCTTCATAACGGCCGTGAGACCGCCGTGGCCCGTGTCGGCGTCGGCGATGATGGGTCTCAGGTAGTCGATGTTGGCGAGCTTGGCGCGAGCCTCCTTGGAGACGCTCAGGCGTTCCTGGCGTTGTTTCCGGTCGTGGAAGAGCTGGGCCATGAACAGGTGGGCGACCTTGTTAGGCACGGTGGTCTGTCAAGGCAGGTTAGCTACGGGAATTTGCCTGGACAGTGGTTGACAAGGTGGAGAACTCACATAAGGGTAGTCTGCCAGATCCGGGCCGGGCTCGTCCGAGGCCGAGGCCGTTGACGATGATTGCCATCCAGATACGTAGACGGTGTCGAGGTACTTGGCCATCTGAGTGACCATTGTGGGCTCCAAGCAGCCGTAGGTGTAGCTGGCATCCTTGTTCTTGAAGCGGTTCTCGAGAATCTCAAAGAGCTTCTTGGACTGGGCGTTACTCGGATACTCAATCTTGAGGTGGCCTCTCTTGGAGACAATCTGCTCGGCGGTGAAGGATCGCTTGGTGTGTCTCCATCGCGGCTCGCTCCACCACTTCTTGACTTGCTCAACCTCCTTTTGGAACAGGTCATCCTCGATGTTCGGGTCCACGGCGTTGTTGACCATGTTGCTGGCAGCCATAATGGGCAATGTGTAGCTTTAGACTTGTGGGAAAGATGATGCTATTGTGAGGGTTTGTAGCGGAGATTTCTCGGCGACGATATGCTTCGAGATGGAGGGGTATGTAGGAATCGAAGTTGGACACGAATACCTAGATATTTGGCAGGCCAGGAACAAGACAATTTAGCATCAGACTAATGATGCTATTTACAACTCCAATTGACAAGTGATCAACGAGTTCAAGGGAAGAGATGATGGTGCTTGGAGAGGTAGAAGAGGAGGAGAAAGAAAGTCAATCTTGGAGGAGTCACAAGCAAAAAAAGAGAAGAGGTCATGGCAGAGCATAAGAATAAAGAAGCAAGTAGGCAAGCAGAAGCTAGGCCATGGCCGCCATCGGCAGTGTTCGGCCAAAAGGCGTTCCTGGACCAATCGTCTTACATCTGTTTCGAGGCTTGTACCTCTGACCTCTGGCCCAGGCCAGTCAATGGACAGTGTGAAGAACGCTCTACGCGGTGAGGGTGACTCGCCCAGCCCTCCATTCACCCAGCCAGTCACGTACGGTTGTTGGCATGGGAAAGCATAAGGTGAGTGGTGTGTCTATGGTCTTTGGTAGGGCGAACGAAATCTTGGCTGGGTGCCAGGACCGTGGGTAAAACAAACCTCGGAAGCTGAAAATAGTTCGGAACAAGCTCCTGGAGCAAGTACCAGATACTTTTGAATGACCCTGCTTCTCCTCG